AATGAAAGTTTTTAAAATCTCGAAAAACGTCTTTTGATGTGTATTTTATTTCTACTATAATGGTACAAGTTATAGAAAATAGATTACAACATTATTTTAAATATTATATCATTGTATTGCTTATTTGTGAGATAACAAAGCGACATTGACAGACGACGACATTATCGGTAAAAAAATTACGAAACTGACCCTGCTGACATCTTAAAAAAAGCAACGTCAATAAGCCACAAGAACAAAACACTTATTGGCAGAAAAATTGAATGTTTTTAAAATCACGAATAACATCTTTTCATTTTATATTTTAAATTGATCTTTAAAACTATCTATACCTATTTCTTAGCACCTTGTATAAGAAAATTTATTTTTCAGGTATACCAAAGTCTAGTCAGTCTCCGCAAGGAGCCACTCCCCCATGGAACTTACCATATTCAAGCGCTCACCGAGAACACTCTGATTCTAATCCGTCACCTGATTACTCATGATACCTACGCTCTCGTGTTCAACGTGGGAACTACAACGGATACCGTTGATTTGAGTGTCGTACCTTTCTTGAGTGAACCCATCACGGTTTATACTTCAAGTGTACATTCTAACAAATTAGCCGGGTGAGTGAAAGGAATCAATATTTTTATTACTATTCTCTTAATTCTGTAATAAATAACTCGAGCCTTTCAGAAATTTCGTTTCACAAAATTCTGATTTATGTTGTTTGTCTGAGTTATGTTGGTTTTCTAAAATTTGAAGCATAAATCAGAATTTAAAAAAAAAATTTTGGAATAACCAAAATTTGTTTTTTTTTTAAAGGTATATTCCATTCATCTCTATCATTATCGTCAATTATATTTCCCATTGTTTGGCACGTGACTCTTCTAAGCAGAGACTTTAGTCCAAAGTCTGGCACAATGGATCAATCTTTTCCAAGGGTTGTGAACCTTCTTCGACATGCAGGTTTCACCACGATGTTTTCCTTCGCCTTTACCGAGATGTGCTGCTATTAAAAATTAACTAACAAATTGAAGTCTTCGGTAAATGCTGCTATAAGGATTTAACCCGTCGTCGTCCTCTCAATTGAAGAACAATCATCCCCCTCTGGTTTAGCACCGCTCTTATCACATTATTGTTAAATGTAATCGTATTAGTATCTTCTAAATGTTGTATTTTCATAATTTATTAAAGGAAATTATTTTTCCACATTACAGGTCCGATGTGCAAACCAACTGAACTTTATTAGCTATGATAGTTTGAAATTTGTTTGTGTAAATATATATTCATTACCTGGTACAATTTATTATTGTATAAACTCTATAATGAAGAAAATTACACCCAGGAAAAATACTTCACGTGGCTATTTGTATTCGCTATTGGTTGTTTGATGTACTTGGAAACATATTTGACGTACAAACAAACATGCAAACACTATAATAATAATAATAATAATAATAATACACATGGACACACACATAAACAACCACAAATTACACCCAAAGTCACGAGAGAAACAAACGTAGACCATACAAATATTTCTCCCTGCCCGGCAATCGAACCTGGGACCTCTGCGTAGCACTCCGGTATGGTAACCGTTCGGCCACAGAGACAGTTAAAACTTTTTAAAAGTTAACTGACAAATAACAATATGACCATCTACACATGGAGCCAAATAAGGAGTTAAAGTAATAAAATTTAATATGGCCATAGTGCGGACGGTTTACTTGCGTATTTACCTATTTGTCTCCTGTCATGAGCTTCGAGAAATCGACCAGCGCACGGTAACTCGAGTTTGGTGTTTGATGTATTTGTGTACCAGGCGAACAAGGCAAACACTTCGTTACACGCGGTAATCACACGTGGTGATTGTTTACCAAATATATCAAATACGTAAATACAAATAGTTACGTGAAGTGCCACCATAAGACCAGCTCGGATAAAAAAAGATTATCAGCATAGCAAACAAACTGTGTTGCCCACATGAATAAAGCGAGTTTTCAAAATCAGAGTGTCTGTAATCACACTTCAGATTGTACTGCTGGAGTCACTTCATAAGATGCTCGTGGTTCGGTAGGACTTTAAGGAGCATTTGTACACCTGAAACGCAGACAATTAATCAAATAACTTGCGTGCTCAAACTTTCACTCCTGATGCCTCGCTTTGTACAATTCTGAACCGACTGCGAGACCTCAAATTTGGTATCGCCGATCTTGCATTTTGGTCGAAAAAGACAACTCATCAACATTTTAACTCGCCGTAATGACAGAGAATTACAATTATCTGGAATTACAAGGAACGGAATTCACTCCACACCCATTTCCCAGAACCTCCAGACCAGAACTACTTCCCAAATTGGTCCCACAGACCTACAAACCGTAGAGCCACAGAGGTTATTGAAACTGACATTAAACCTGACCAAAACAAATTTCTTCAAATCTTTTAACCGTAGTCACTCTCTGAAAATCCAAATCACTGCATCATAACAATTAAGTAATTTGGTAATAGTTTCTGCTGTAAAAATTAATTTATTCAACACAACATTCATTGGTGATAGAAACGCAGTTGACCGTTAAAGATACGGTACAGTTTAGGTTTTTATTACATTATAATTTACCCTTATCATATTTACTACAGTTTAAACAAATGCAAAAATAATTTAAGTAGGTAAGTTTTTAGATGGAAATCAATCACAATAAATGTCGTAATCCATAAGCACTATAACGATAATAAAATCTATCGATAACTATCAGACAAAATGAATAATCCAACTGAAAAAATAACAATTTATGATTTTAATCTTCAAAGCTGTACCGAAAATTAATACAGGGTGATATTGGATTAATAATATAATCTTTCGCATAACGGATCCCTGCGGCTCAACATGAAACCGCAGCCATCATTCTCACCACGCCCAAAGCTCTAAAAGCACCCTCTCATCTCCTTCGCTCATAGACTATACGAATCTAAATACTCTTTCGTTGAATACAGAACACCTTCTGTGACCGGATAGATTTCAAAGCGCTTATTTGGTAGCATATCAAAGACGATCATTATATTTATTGTTTTACACATGCTTCGGTACCGGTCGGCAGTTGGCGAATGTTTTCGACGTCCGCCTTTGCTGCGGCTGCCGCGCGATGTTTTACAACTGAGTTGCGGTCACTATGTACACGTCAAACTATGGTTAGATATTTGCGGTAAGGGCAGATATGGAAGGGTCAAACTTCGAGTTGCTGGGAATTTATTGATTATTCTACGATTTGTTTTGTGTGTCGAAGAGGAAAATAGGGCAGTAATACAATTTCAATAGGAGATGATCTTTTTCTTTCCATGCCTGCAATATACACCAGTGGGTATGTCTCCTCCAATTCTCTTCAAGCTCTTTTGCCAGTCAAGACGGCGGGCAACCAAATCTTTACGTCATCTCTGTTGGGGTCAAGACTGTGATTAGATGTGAAGGGATCTAACCCCGCTTTAAGAGAGGTTAATCTATGAACGAGGAATGCAAAATTAAAGCATGAACGTAATAAAGCTCCCCGAAAGCTTCTACTAAAATATGACGAACACAAAATAAACCGAAAGCTTTTTAAAAACACTTCAAAATGTTATTGGACATTCAATTGAACAATCCGGTATGGCTATCAGCTCCACTCTTACAAAAATAAGGTACCTGACAAGCGACACTGCGATAACCCCAGATTAATGGCCCAAAAATAACCCCAGTGATTAATATTCGAAAACGGAAACGAGTAGCGATGACGATACATTTTCGAGAGGCTGTCGAAATCGAATTATCGACTCGGCGAAAATTCAAGAGTGTTAACTGGCGTTAACACGTGGCGTTAACGACAGGTTAACTACGATTGCTCGCTAATTTAATCTGAATTGGACCGAATTGTCTCCTAAACCGAATTGTCTTCAAGTGAATTAGCGCGGAAAGAGGCATAACATGGTTCTTCTAACACGTTACTCTCTCTTTGATGTGATACTTATGCGTTCTGGCAAGGTATTGATTGTGACGTGTGATTGTGATGTTCAGCAATATTTTCCACATGACCTATTTTATAAGTTGAATTGAAAGTAAACGTGCCAAATAATGTATGATACCATATACATAAAAGGCCAATAACTTATATTATTTTTGTTAAATGTGTACATATCAGTTAAGTTTTAAACCTGTAATCTTTCCACTGGATGTGACCTTGTCAATGCCATATCTTTTATTTTACATTTAACAAAACAATTCAATACGTATTTGCACACCCACCTATTATCCCGGTTTCAAGTTATCTGGAGCATGGAATGTTTGCAAAAATATTTTCACTATCACCTGGTACGGCTTCGGTACGGAATAAGAACACCGATAATGTTGCGGCATATTGAAAAATATTGCGTGGTTGGATGAACATTCCGCCGCCGAGACGGAGACACAGCGTCGCATCTCCTGTCAGTTCTTGACCGTGACCAGTGCAACGTGGCCGAAATATCGGGATAATACGAAGGTATGCAAACACATATTAAATTGCTTCAACCCGATTATCCCCATTTTATAACGCTAGAATTTTCAGTGGACTCATTAACAAGGAAAGTACTGCCTTTCCTGGACGAACGAGTTGACTAAAGAGATTACATAGAAATATCAAATGGCTAAGAAGAAGAGTTTTCAATATAACACATTAATTGCACTCAACAACAATAACATCAACGACAACAATAAAGACAATGTTCGAAGACCGGTTTTAAAGTAATATAATCGACATTTCCTCAAAACCGACTTGCTTCATTAATATCTATTTATATTGATCTAATAACAACTACATTATCCTCTAGATGTTCTAGTCTAGAATTTTCCTTTTAGACGTCACTATTTCCATCACTCTTTACAATTTTACAACTACCTGTACCACGTGTATCTGCTTTATGACTGATATTTTATGACAGATTAAAGATATATCAGATTCCACATTAGGTATAAAATGAATAAATAGAACTACTAGTTTTCTTACTACAACCTCAGTGTTCAAAATGCCGTCGTGTTTGAAAATTGTAGGCATTACAGTTGCTGTGGTGTTAGTAGTTGGGGTAGTGGTAGGGAGCATCACTTGGGCGATCCTAGCCAACAGAGGCCCGTCGCCTCCAGAGTTAAAAGAGCTAGACTGGTGGGAGCACACCGTTCTTTACCAGATCTATCCAAGGTCGTTCAAGGACAGCGATGGAGATGGTATTGGAGACTTAAAAGGTGGGTTAAGAAAAGGCCGTGAATTTGGCAATTCTTCCATTGTTTGTTGAACGTGCATTATGACATCATGTGTAACAACGGTACAATTGTAAAAATGTAGTTATGGCATAAGCAACCTAAAGTAGATATTATTAACTAAGAAAACAAAGTCGTTAATGCACTTTTAAGACCATAATGTTTATAATGTGTTAGTCGATGCAGCATTAGAACACAATTCAAATGGAACAGTTACATACAGTTTTTTTACTTTTTATTGAATTAATATTCAATTGTTTTTTGTGAAATTACTCCACTAGTTTGTTATAATTAAAAAGTTCGAACACTCAGAAAAATTCCTTCGATCCCGCCGGATTCGAACCGACGTCTTCTAGCTTACCGTGCCAGACTCTATACCAATTAAGCCACGGAACGAACCAGCGGACCTCACAAATTTTTCTATATGCTTGCGTAGTGTTTTTGTATTTGGTTTTTTCAACGACTTTTTAGTCGTAGCGCCATCTATGAGAAATCTATGTAAGATTTATCACCCATTTAGTACCTTTACAGTTACCAGTACTTTTTTACAGTTGGTATAGCGTCTGGCACGGTAAGCTAGAACACGTCGGTTCGAATCCGGCCGGATCGAAGGAATTTTTCTGAGTGTTCGATCTTTGTATTAATAATTATACATACAGTTTGTTATGTCCTTGAAAATTCCGCATTGTACAATTATTTTAAATGAAACTGTTTTTTTGTTTAATTTATGTATATTTTGCAAATCGTTTGGTTTTTTATGACACAAAATGTTGAGACGAACAAGTTGCGCGTCTGGTTTTAAGCGACATGCCTATCAATGACAGATGTAGTGCCACTCAGAGTTTTAAATCGCAAACATCTTCAGGTCCTAGTGACAGAATGCTGGGCGCAGTAGCAGGGACCTGCAACTGCGCCCGGCACTCTGAGACATAATTTGACAAGCGCCTTGTGCCTGAAATTTCCTCAGAATTCTTTATTTTACAAAACCGACATGCAGTAATACTCACATTACTATGCTTAGCGTCAGAAATAGGTAAGGTGACAATATTTCCCACGAAGAACTCTTTCGCAAGGAGTTCTGCTGCTTCTAAATTACTAGCTTACAAATATATATTATTTAGACATAAAATTTTGTTGTCGTAAATTGCAATAAGTTTTTTAATAATCTTCAGAATTGAGTAGTTTGCATTAATATTAGCCATAACTGGTTGATGACCATCTGAATCAACGGTGACCATGGGTCCTAAATCGTTCGAAATGTTGATTAGTTTTGGAATAAAACTAGGTGATTTAATTTGAAAAAAATTTCATTTCTAGTTTGTAGGAGTCGCGAAAACCTAAGAACTCTATAGTACAATTGTGCCTTTGCTACACAGTATGTGCAAAATGTTTGCCCTAGCTTCTATTTAAACATTCGATATGACTATATTTATCCGCATCGCAAATGGCGTACATTTGTTTTTTCAAACGAATCTACATTTCGGGCTCTTTATAGGTTCCATGATCTCGAGTGAGTGTTTCATAAACCCTTTCTTCTGCCACGTTGGCACCATGGACGTTTAATTAATTAAGAATCCAAACTATATCGTAAATGGACTCAAATTCGATTGACACAAGTACCGCGTTGGGTTTTTCGGTGATATGGACATGGCTAGCTCGAAAAACATTGTATCTCCAAATATTTTCATAGTTAAGTCTCCGCATACCAATGACAACATAACCCTTTTAACAGATAATGGCTTTAGATACAAAATAATACCGAACTAACAACAATTATGAAGAATATTTCAGTACACTTTGGTATAAAGAAAACTAAAGGAACAAAAGAAAGCCAAAGAATTATATATTTTTATCAGACTTGCTCGTAAACAGTGTCATGACATGCAGGCAAACTAGACCGTAATGTCCTAAATTATGCCTACGGGCTTTTTCAATACATTATCGCCCTACGGACTTGTTTAGTCAATATTGAACAAAAAGTTTTTGTGCTCGAAAAATCGGGACGTTTACTTCGCATAAGCTTGAAGTATAAAATTCTGCAGTATTTTTAGAATTTGGAAATTATTTATTTTATATCTAATACAATGCGGGCATTGGGGCTGCATGCGTCTGTGCCCTTTATAACATTTTGGATCGAGTTGTATTGTCTATGGGAGAACAGCTGGCAATCTGTTTAAAAGAAACCGCCATTTGCAAAATCCGTAAATTGTCGTGTTGTGAAGCGATATTTACTCATACAAGAAATAAGTTATCGTTGTATCTATTGCCTCGCAAAGGCGATGAAAAACATTGCATACATATAAAATATTCGCCATACTTATTAACAGGGAATCGCATTAAGCAGAAAAAAGCTTTATGTCTTTGTAATAAGGCCGAAAAAGACGCTTTGTATTTCGCGTCTGCGATCAGAGCAGTAGGGCTAGCACGATAGGGCGCGACTAGCACGAGAGCGAATAAAGCACGAGATACTGCTATTCTCGCATAGATATGTCGCGCCTTATCGTGCTAGCCCTACAGAAGCGAAATGTATGTACAACGTCGTTGCCGCCTTTATTTCATGAACATAAAGTTTTTTTCTGACCGGCTTGTAATAAGTATAGCAACTCCGTAATAGTTGTATGGGTTCGTAAGAATACGTAATCCCAAATGTTTGGCTACGCGGTCGAACTTCAAATTTACTATCTCCCACAACCGTAATACATTTTTGCACAAACACGCTTCAACTTCGGCGCCTAGCCATTCTCGGGTTGGATTTCCCATAGGCGTATAATATCGGTAAATAACTTGTCGGTATGGGTATTGAGTTTTGGTGTCCTACCCATTTTTGTTATTGGGCCGATTCACCTCTGGCTCACAGTAAAGGAAACGTCGTGATGAAACCTGCTTGTTGAAGAAAGTTTCACAACCCTTGGTAAACGTATCAAATCTCCAACCTGGATTTAACCATTCTTAGACCACGCCCAGAAATAGGACGTATCGTGGATTGATGATGATGACAATGACAGATTAAGAATAAACTACATGTTAACAAAACCAATGTCAACTCTTTTTCCCACTAATTACCTAAAGGTCTCAAATTAGGCCTGTATTATGAGTACCAGAACAACGGAATTCACTCCGGGGCACCCAGAACACCCAAACCAGAAGTTTTTGGAAAATTTCATTTCCCAAATTGGTCTTACCGCGAATCGAACCCGGAACCTCCTCACAATATAAACCAATAAGCTACCAACATCGTCAAACTCTGATCTGATACTACGCTTAGCCATAAAACAAAGAATTTCCTTTTTCGAGAGCAAAAAGTTGATGGAGTAACGGGATACAATTGTTGTAATTTTTAGGAATAACAAGCCAGTTGGAACACTTCGTGGATGCGGGAGTGGGAGCCATCTGGATGTCTCCGATCTTCACTTCGCCCATGGTGGACTTCGGGTACGATATCAGCGACTTCTACAACATACACTACGAATACGGCACTATGGAGGACTTCGATGAGCTGCTGGCCAAAGCCCATGAACTTGGTAAGGAGAGTACAACAATATATGTAGAAACAAATGGCTTGATTGACATTAACAATAATAAATAAAATAATGAACCAGATAACCACTCCAACTATCTGGTGTCAAATTAGGAAATTTCACGTACTATGAGTACCAGAGCAACGGAAATCACTACCTGGAAGACTCAGAACAGAACCAAATTAGAAAACACTATTTCCCACATTGATCCTACTGGGAACCCAGCCCATAGTGCAAACCATTGAACCAATGATGATTAAATGCAACGTTAAATTTCATAACGGAGCAGTAGCCCCTGACGAGATGGCAACTGTTGAAAATTCCCATAATTATGTGTAACAAAAAGTAACAATTAATTGGTATTAATTCGTAATTAATTATTTTGTGTTACACATAATTATCGGTACATTTAAAAGATCTATATCAGCAGTAGTAGTAAGTGCTGATAAGGACGACTATAAACATACACATACAGTTAATGGATACTTTTTAATCGAGAGGTCGATAGTTCAAAATTTTGTGAATATTCAGTTGGTATAATTTATCGACGAAGTCTACATGTCGAAGATGAGTCATAACCCTTGAAAAAGTGTGATATTCTCAACCCGTATTAGAAAAGAAATTTATAATAATTTATTAGATTAGAAATCATCTCCACAGAGGAAGAACGTGCCCAACAGTAAAGTAAAATACATTTCTTTCTTCAAAACCTGTTTTTCTTTCACGTTCCTTTAGGAATTAGAGTACTTCTAGACTACGTACCGAACCACGCCAGTAATGAATCGGAGTACTTCATCAAGTCTGAAGCGCGAGAACCTGGCTTCGAGGACTTCTTCGTGTGGGCAGATCCTAGGCCTGGCCCTGACAACGGGACAAACAGACTTGTGCCTTCTAATTGGGTAATATGAAAAATATTCTTTACAATGAAATCGCTTACTAAAATATATTTGATATATATATAATATAATTTGATATATAGATAACAATAAAATTTATTAAAAGTCAAATAGTTGAAAGGTAAATTAGCTCGAGGGTATTTATAATAACTTTTACAAAAGGGTGAATGGAAACAAGCAACCAATCTGGGTCAAAACGACACAGTAACTGGAACACAAAATGACAAAATTATATCGGCCTGAATCAATTTATTTCAAGATAATTGTCCATTTGTACATTCCATTACGAATAATATTCGGTATTATACATAAATAGATAAGAACGACACGATAAGGAGAATTGGACTTTCATTTTAATGATTTTCCCTCAAAACTTGAGCGAAGTTTGCTAAAAGTGTTTTTGTGTCGCTCCCTTGAAATATTTTATGTCCATTCTCTCAACTACTACTGATTTACGAAATATGAAGAAAAGTCAGAAATTTAACAATCAGTGTCGCTTTATTTGATACGAGGCCTGTACCCCACCTACGCTGGGGTCAGGCTCGCCCTGCGGCGCGTGGTCGGGTTCAGTGGTGTACTCATGCTCTTTGATGGCACAGCAGTTAGTGCTACGAGCGCTTGATGAGGAGTTCGATTCTCGATTTGGACCAATTTAAGAAACGAACATTTCTAAGTTGGTTTTGGTCTGAGTATTCTGGGTTTTCGTTGTTTTGGTATTCATAGTACAGGAAATTAGGCAGTAGTTTGACATTTTCCCCCTAAATACTTCTCACTTGGCATATCTTTCAAGGAAATGGAATCTAACAGAGAGACGGTCGAGATACAACAACGCTATAATAAGTATCTCATTTCCACTACAGGGAGAAGTATGCCTTACATTATACAATTGTGATATATTATACTCGTAATCGCTTCCGTATATTATCTCCATACGATAGCGTGCGTACGCTTCGGGATTCGCCCTATGTGGACCTCGGCCTACGGCCTCGGCACTTATCACTTTGTTTTAAAAAATTTAATAACTTTTTAAATATAAAAATTGCAAAAATATTTTTTTTACCACTAATTTTTATCAAACAAACTTAGAAGAAATCTTTTCGGGCCAATGTTCAGTCCAAGCACAGCAAGGTTTTTCAACAGCCATTTACATAAAAAATTACGGTTATATCGAAAACAAAATTTTTACCCGAATTGATTGAAGCCATGCCATTTTTAGTCGAATTAGAAAAAAAATTTATCTACCGCCAAAAAGTTTGTATGGCAGCCATATTGAAAAAAGGCGAAAAATAAATTTTGGCCGTAAATTATTATCAAATACCTATAGAGACCCCTACCGCCGATTTTCAGTTGAATTAGAGCTGATTTTTATAAACTTGCATGGCGGTCATATTGAAAAGTAGCGAAAAACTAATGTTGATCACAAATTATTATCAAGCACTCCTAAAGACACCACATGCCAATTTTCAAAGGGATCAGAGCAATTTTTTATTACCGCCAACGAACGCTTGTATGGCGGCCAAATTTGAAAATGGTGAAAAACTAATTTCGAGTCTAAATTATTATCCGGCACTTCTAGCGGCCTCCATCTGCCAATTTTCAGCCGAAACAAAGCAAGTCTCTTTCGGCAGCTATTTTAAACGAAAATAAACGCATATATGGCAGCAATATTAAAAAATGGCGAAAAAAACTTATGATCCCAAATTATATGATTAGGAACTCCTAAAGACCCTCCATACCAATTTTCAGCCGGATCGAAGCAAGTTTTTATTCAGCCGCCATTTTGAATTCGCCATCTTGAAATTTTTTTGACACAGGCAGACTTTTTTTGACCACTGTTACCCTCTATGACATTCCTTCGAGCACCTTGTACCTATCTCTAATAGTTTCCGTTATAGAAGACCTTGAAATTTGTATTGCGGCCATGTTGTTTATTTGAATTTCGAACATTTTTTACATTCGGCGGAAATTGCCCAGGGTGCACCTCATAAAAGCGCACAAATATCCGCTCCATATATTATAATTTTTACAGGCCGTTCACATCTACTACTACAATATAATTGAATAAAAGTAAATACAAACACGTGAAATTCGTTTATAGCTTAGTTACAGATAATGTAGAGTACATAGCACTTGTTGATTTTCTGCCATGACCTGTAATGGATAAGAACACACTATAAATTAATATACATAAACAAACCATAAAAATAAGTATGCAATTTGCAGCAAAAGCCTTTTTGGAACCACATTTATATAATAAAATAAACAAAATAATTGGAATATAAATAATAAAATTCAAACAATAACCAATGTCAAAGCTCACTTAAAAAGATGGCTTCTAACTTAATCCTATAATGAAACAGAAGACCTTATTGAGCGCGTCGTCTCGTATATAGTATTTTTGCCTCATAATGTTTAATACGCGGTTTCGACACCGTTGACTTGAATACAATAGTTAAAATGTTTACTGTGACATTATGTTATTAAACCCAAAAAACTAAATTTCGTAAGGCTGTAAATGGTACAATGTTTTATTATGTATATTATATTTGTAGTATTGACATTAGAACTCTAAAATAAACTAACACCCATTGTTATTTTTTGAGACTTTTAATTAATTTGTAAGATTCATTTCATATTTGCAACTGTGGATCGAGAAGCGACCTAACATTATTGTCCCTTGCTAGTAGCACAGTGACTGTGCTAGTGGTGCTAAAAATACCTTGTGTAAAGATTTATCTATCTTGTAATTCTGAAAGGTGGGAACCTGGTGGCTTGACACATAGGTATTTGTATGCTTAGTTTAGGTTAGTTAAATAAAATATGGTTACTACAGTTCCTATTCAGTGTAAACTGCACCTAGCTGTTATATGTATTTTTGGAGGAAAACAACTTCATTATAATGCAAAAGCTATCATAAAAATACTCCATAAGACACAAATGTAATAAACTTGCGTACCGGGATTATTAGTAAATAATAAATAACGCACACACTCAACATAGCCCCGCACTAGGGAAACCCTGTGTCGCGGGTGCCATAGACACACACATAGACAACCACAAATTACACCCGAACTCACGAGAGAAATAAATGTAAGCCATACAAACATTTCTCCCGGCCCGGGAATCGAACCTGGGACCTCTGCGTGGCAGTCCGGCATGGTAACCGTTCGGCCACGGAGGCAGTTAATGTTAAAGTCGAAAGCTAATGTAAGATTTTTTTTAATGTCGAATACGATTGAAACCGTTATTGGTCTAGACATCATGTACATGGATCGGATGAATGTGAGTAGAGTGGCGAAAGAGATATATAGGACCAACGTGGAAGGATGAGATGTAATATGTTAGTTGAAACTCTGTTGGAAATTTTCAGATCAGTCAGTTTGGAGGATCAGTGTGGGAATGGAGTGAAATCCGTCAGCAATATTATCTTCACCAGTTTGCTATCCAACAAGCGGACTTTAATTTTAGAAACCCAGCTGTAAGACAGGAGATGTTAAACATTCTGGGATTCTGGTTCACGAAAGGAGTTGATGGCTTCAGGTTGGATGCTCTTCCCCATCTCTTTGAAACCGCACCTAATAGTTCCGGGATATATCCCGATGAACCATTGACTGGAAACATGTTCCTGAATCCCGACCAACCTGGGTACACCACTCAAGAACACGTCAGAGATGTGATGGAGTTGTACGATGTAGTTTACGAGTGGAGAGACTTCTCTGACGAATTTGAAAAAGAATTTAACACCGAAACCAAGTAAGTAATCCTATCAAACATGTTTCAATACAACAGAGCGGTTCCTATTTATCATTAAATTATTATTACCATTAAATAATTGCTGGGATTTCAGAGTGGCATTGTCTAATTAAAATGATTTTATTTAAATCAAATTTTGCTCATCGTATTGTTAGTAAGGATGCAACATTAACAACAATAATACAAGGATCCACAGCTCCACTTTAAATAGGAAACGTTTAGCTAAAATAATTTAATTATACAAATACTCAGATCCACTTTAATAAAATTACCTAAGTTAATCTTTTGAATTTGAATTTTCACTATTTACAGAATCCTACTTGCAGAAGCTTACTCGAATATTAGAAACACGATGCTGTACTATGGCAACGAGCGCGACCGCACCGGGTGTCATTTTCCCTTCAACTTCGACTTTATCACAAGTCTATCTTCGTGGTCTACTGCCAGGGACTTTGTCTACGTCATACTTCGATGGCTAACTTATATGCCTGCTGGACATGTTCCTAATTGGGTGGTAAGTAATAGATATAATAATAAGTAATAACTGCCTCCGTGGCCGAACGGTTACCATGCCGGACTGCCACGCAGAGGTCCCAGGTTCGATTCCCGGGCCGGGAGAAATAGTTGTATGGCCTACAATTATTTCTCTCGTGAGTTTGGGTGTAATTTGTGGTTGTCTATATGTGTGTCCATGGCACCCGCGACACAGGGTTTCCCTAGTGCGGGGCTATGTTGAGTGTGTGCGTTATTTATTATTTATTATTATTATTATTAGATAAACAACGTTGTAGAGGAATGTAAAATATTTATCAAGGGCAAAAACGAAGCACAGGTAAATGTAGACCTACAAATACCGATAGCAAAACTTTCTAAATTCAATGTAACACTTATTTTGCATTACAAGTGTGTGCTTCTCAAGGTTCATAACATCCCATGATACAAACAAAAGTTTATTACTCTCTACTAGTAACTGTAGTGGTGCGGCTAATTAATAGGTAAATAAATTTCTGTGAGCAGAACACAGGCTCGAAGTCATGATCATAAAGAAATGCTCATTTAGATAGGAACCAAACAGGACTCGTACACTGGCACTGGACCAAGGCCAGAATAACTGTTTGAAAGGTTTACTAGTCTCTGAAGTTCAACGCGTATTTCTAAATTTTGCTTGCATTTTAAAAATCAAAGATTGTTCGTGAAGTATAACAATCTTTAGAGGGAAAACATTATAGAGACCATGGCGGGTATTTTCATGACAGACGACAGAAAAATTCGAGGTACCGCCAACCTTAATAATAATTTGCATCTATTGTAACACAGTTTGGCAACCACGACAACAAGAGAATGCCATCGCGGTTCCGCACCGACATGGTTGATGGACTCAATGCTCTTAACATGATCCTGCCAGGAGTCGCAGTCACTTACCAAGGAGAGGAGATCGGCATGAGAGACGGCTACGTCAGTTGGGAAGACACTGTTGATGTAAATGCTTGTAACCAGGGAAACCCTGATAATTATTTGGATTTCTCCAGGGACCCTGCTAGAACCCCTTATCATTGGGATGATACCACCAGTGCTGGGTTCTCAACCAGTACTAATACGTGGTTGCCAGTGGCTGAAGATTATGTGGAAATCAATTTAAGGAGACAGAAAGAGGCTAATAGGAGTCATTACAAGGTACAAATTGATTATAGAGATTATAACTAACAATGCAAATATTTTATGTATAAAGATACACAAAACTATCTTTAAAGGCTTAGCTATTTAGGCCTGCATTAAATAAATGAAAAGAATACCCAAAATGCTTGCAGCATCTTCCTTTGTATAGCTACGTTACCTCTGACAGTGATGAAATGAGCCAAAAAAACTTACGAAATATCAATGAATGTTAATATAAAGTTATACAGGTTACTGATAAATTTGGTAGAAATACTTTTAGTGTAATTATCCTTATAATCCTCATTTTAATCACATTTAAATAAGATAATCGTAATAAGTTTGCCTTAATTTTACGAGAAATTTAAGAAATTGTTAAGTTAGTTTGTTTATTACTAAACATTTTGAAAGTTTTTAACTGTCACTGGCCACTTCATAGTTGAAGCGAATTTTATTTACTTTATTTTTTATTGTAATGGTACCAATTACAGAAAACAGATTACAATATTATTTTAAATATTAAATAAAATATCACTGTATTGCTTAAGTGAGATAATAAAGCTACATTGACAGATGATGATGTGTCATCTTGAAAAAACGTCTTATCAGTAAAATAGAAAGTTTTTAAAATCACGAATAACATCTTTTTATTTTGTATTTTAAATTGATCGTTAAAACTATCAATACCTATTTCTTAGCACCTTGTATAAGAAAATTTATTTTTCAGGTATACCAAAGTCTAGTCAGTCTCCGCAAGGAGCCGTCACTCTCCCATGGAACTTACCATATTCAAGCGCTCACCGAGAACACTCTGATTCTAATCCGTCACCTGATTACTCATGATACCTACGCTCTCGTGTTCAACGTGGGAACTACAACGGATACCGTTGATTTGAGTGTCGTACCTTTCTTGAGTGAACCCATCACGGTTTATACTTCAAGTGTACATTCTAACAAATTAGCCGGGTGAGTGAAACGAATCAATATTTTTATTATTATTCTCTTAATTCTGTAGCAAATAACTCAAGCCTACCAGAAATTACGTTTCACAAAAATTCAGATTTATACTCCAAATTTTGGTTTTCCAAAATTTGTTTTTTTAAAGGTATATTCCATTCATCTTTATCATTACTGTCAATTATATTTCCCATTGCTTGCCACGGGGCTCCCCTAAGGAGAGACTTTAGTCCAGAGTCTGGCACAATGGATCAATCTTTTCCAAGGGTTGTGAACCTTCTTCGACATGCAGGTTTCACCACGATGTTTTCCTTCGCCGTTACCGAGATGTGCTGCTATTAAAAATTAACTAAGTTATTGAAGTCTTCGGTAAATGCTGCTATAAGGATTTAACCCGTCGTCGTCCTCTCAATTGAAGAACAATCATTTTCCCTCTGGTTTACCACCGCTCTTATCACATTATTGTTAAACATAATTATATTAATGTCTTCTAAATAAGCATGTGTTTTCATAATTTGTTAAAAGCAAATTATTTTTTCATATTACAGATCCGATGTCCCGTTAGGTGATATGAGACTAGTGGCTGGCGAAGCCGTAGTACTAAAAGCAGCTCCAACCAAATGAAACATTATTAACAATGATAGTTAGAATTTTGTTTGTGTAAATAAATATTCATTACCTGTTTCAATTTGTTATTGATTAAGCTCTTTATTAAAGAAAATTCAAACCTGGAAACTTAATTGACAGTCAACGACGTTTGGTCCAAACATGTAGAGAGATACGGGATAATCTTTTCAGCAAAGAGAAACATTGTAACTACCCTTTAACGCTTATCCTAAGTTAATTGATGACACTACCGCGATAGACAATGTACGAGTTGTGAGTCGCACTCTACGATAATTCTTCGTTCTTTATGTACTTTGTGACTCTATAAAAAGCTATTTTAATAGATTGGTCTAAATTCTGTGCTATTTATCTTCTAAAATGTTATATTGTCCAGGGTCATCTAAAAGTAGCGCGCATTAAACTGACGGTAAGATTTAAATCACACAAATCATGAAAAATGCCCAGAACTGGCGAATGGTAAAGGTGTCGTATTCCATCATAACAAAGCCAAACCAGAAACATCTTTACAAAGCCGTCTAAAACTCTCGTCTAAAGTTCATCAAAAACTATTACAGATAAGTTGGGATGTTGGGATGTGTTATCTCATCTAACGTGAAACCCGACATAGCCCCTTCAGATTTTCATTTGTTTCGATATGTACTAAATTCTTTGTATGGGCAATACTGTGAATAAAATATCGTCATACAACACTGGAATTTTTATGAAATGGTAACGCTAAAATTACCCGACAGATGACAAAACATTGTAGATCAACATACCCACATGATACCGCACGCACTGTTTGACCAACTCAATATTGATCCCCAATTACCATAAACACCAATTATTAATTGCACACTACGAACGTGATTTTATGGCAGTTTGCTCTAGTTGATATTGGTGTAGTGCAGGGTCTGGTTGAGACAAAAGGAGACACGCAGGGGCAGGTCCTGGGACCTTCGTGTTTTATTATTGGATTTTAGAGGACTCGTTAAACATCGCTGATGGTAATGGGTATGGGCAGATTTGAACAAAACCGAGATAGTAGCTAATAAAGTATTAAGTATCTGAACTAAACATTTAATTATATTATAAAAAAAAATATTATTATTATTAAAACAATACCAAATAAAAGGATAAAGGCGGTTTTAATTAAAAAAATAAATTAATAGAGATAAATCTCATTTTTGTAAAGCGGTTAGTCAATAATAAAAAAATTGATGACAAACTGTTATTATAAAAGGTAAAAATGAAGATCATCTCTATGATTTCAACAATTTCACGTTACCTATTAAATACATACGTATAAATGACCTAACAAACAGTCGATTGCCAGTGTAGCAACAAACACCTCACAATTCACAAGTGGACGCAAATTGCTACCCCACACAACGCTCTGTATAATTTGTGACAGACGGACGGGCATTATACGGCCACGTCACTTCCGCTAGTGATGGACTAGACCACCAAACTACGAGTCGTGGAGCCGCTAAGCCTTATTAATTAGATCATTATTTGCCTCCAAACATTTAAACTATCGAGTTAATAAGTTACAATTAAGTAATTAAGTACACTGACTATTGGATTTTAAAACAAAGTTAGAGAAATTCAACACAATATTTGTGGATAGATTGAGATGGAAATTATTAACTACAAATATGTGCTACAGCAAAAAAAGTCGTTAAAAACCTAAAACAAAGGTCTGCAACAAGCGCATGGAAAAATTCGTAAGGTACGCTAGTTGGTTCCGTGGCTTAGTTAGCATAGTGTCTGGCACGGTTTGCTCGAAGACGTTGGATCGAATCCAGCTGGATCAAAGAAATTTTTTTCTTAGTCTTCGATCTTTGTATTAATTATAACAAACCAGTGGAGATATTTCACAAAGATAATTGAACATCATGTTGGTCAAATATCGTGACATTCAATAATCTTACTAATATATATCTATATATAATAATATATATAATAATAATCAAAAATTACCAAGGTGTAATCAAGTAACGGCGTGGATGTCTGGTATTCATAACTGTGATTACGCCGATATACAAATTAGCACTTTAAACTGAATTCCGAAAAAGGATATTACTTTCTAAAGATCAACTATCAGCGGGTGCGACTTTCTTTTCATTCTTAACGGACTTTCCGTTAGTTCTGAAAAAAGGATTTTATAAAGGCGTCCTATAACAACACTATGATACCTAATTTTGTTACCAAGGCCATACTGATCCCCAATTACCATAAACACCCATTATTCATAGCGTATCATTGATCGCGACTATGTGGCAGTATGTGCTCGTGTTAGCAGCTCTGGTGGGAGTTGGTACAGTCCAGGGTCAGGCTGTGACAAAGGGTGTCACGCAGGGACAGGTTTTGGGCCCTTGGTGGAACAGTGCCGTTTATTATCGAATTTTGGTTGACTCTTTTAAAGACACTAATAGTGACGGCTTGGGTGATTTGCAGGGTAAGATATATTTGATTGGTTTTAAGTAGAAATATTTAAGTCAACTTTTGTATTTTGAACATTGTTATTGATGGAAGGTAAGGTTTTTTATTACGTCAATAAGACCATAAAATCGAAAATCAATAAGATTATTAACAGTAAATATGTACTTTATGCAGCCTGTGCGAACCATACATTGACAGGCTGGAGGGCGTCAGGTAGGGTTAGGTTATGGAAGCAAAATGGAACATTGATGTAGCTAATATACGTGTGCATTTCAGGAGTAACAAAGCAGCTCAGCTATGTGCGTGCGCTGGGTGCGGACGCCGTGATTCTCTCCCCCATCGTCGCCAGGAGCACCGATTGTGCCAAACCCGGAACTCTGGATATCAGCGACCTCGACCAACGATATGGCAATCTCGAGGACTTCAACGGCTTGCTTAACAAAGCTAAGAAGTTGGGTGGGTTTGTCAAACTTCAATGTTTTATGCTGTCTATGAGTAATGTATTTAAATTTAGCATTGGAAGGTAATTGCAACGTAGCACTCTGATCACACAAATTGTATATTCTGTGGCTGCGAATCAAAGAAAAAAAATCATTATCATTATCCTATGCTACGTTCACTGGTTGGGTAATTACGTGATATTTTCAGAGCTCAAAGTAGTAATTACACTACCGCTTCAGACAATCAGCGCAGCATCAGAATGGTTCACTTCCAGCGTCGACAAAGTTGTTGGATATGAAGACAGGATTCTCTGGAAAGATGGAACAAGTGAGAATCCACCACCGGTAAGTATCCGAACCTAATGAAGTCAATACCAATTTTAATAATTCATTATTTATGTAGATCGCGCATTTAAACCTTGCATGACATGAAACAAATTATATCTATGGGAGTGTTTCGTTGATGACTGTTATGCACTTCACTGTTATTTTCATCTTGTTTACGTTCATGGTAATGGGGGAACTGCCAGTTTATAAATACACGTTATGTAACACAAACAACCGCGAAGTTGGCCACCCAAGTAGGATTGGCCACGAGCAACAGCAACTTTGGTAATGGGCTATTTAGGCCTGCGATCCTGTGTTCATTATGAAAACTTGCGGAAGACGTAAAACTGTTAGCGTCGCTTAAGAGTCTTAAAATCGACGGTTTCTTGAAAGATGCTTAGAGGCTTATGCATCATTACCGTATGCCGAATTCCACGCGCTCAAGATTCTGTTAGATTTGGCAATCAAGAGGTTATGGGACAATGTAATTCGTACTCTTGATATAACAAGCGACATATAGTCATGCATAAAAAGTGTTTTTATTTCATGACATTCATAAAAATAATGAACTTGTAAGAACCACATGAAACAAATTATGTATATATGAAATTTTATAACCCTTCTATGTATGGTAAAAAGTTATTGACAAACGATCGCAGAACCTCTCTCCTGACAAGTTGTCATTTTGCAGATGTGATCTTATTAGACAATATAAGATCGGTCCAGTATTACCAACCGCAGAAAATTGTTATATATTTATCATTTAATAACTCTTATTCTTTTTAATTTATCTTCTTGATAACCATCAAGCAGATAAATTAAAAAGATAATCGTGTTTGTTTATTACGGATCAAATATTAATGTAGGTCACCGCCTGTTCGGAAGGGGTCACAGATAAATCTATATGTATATATTCTAAAGTTGCAAACGGGCCTCAATTGCAATCGCACTGAATGTATAATAATAATTTTGCAACGGGTGCTGTAGCAATTCGGTAAAATATGTACATGTAGTGACAACAACATTGCCTGATTGAAAATAAACTTTGTAAAATGTTGTTGTAGATAGAAGATGGCACTGCCTGGACATGGGACGAAGGCCGCTCAGCATACTGGGCAGCTAAGAACGGCGAGGCGGTGCTTAATATGTGTTCCGAAGGGATCATGGCTTCACTATCGTCTGCTCAGGTAAAGTTAAAGTGTAAAGTTGTTGGAGGTATACCTTGAAATGTTTAGGTCCATTTTTTTGGGAATGGATTGGAAATCACGCCTAAATAAATACGTATTGTTTGTCTTTTTTCAAAAACTCAATCTTCTGGTGATACTGAAGTTGAATTCATAGCAAACCAAATATTTCTTTAAACAGTGTGCTTGGATACGTCGCGGAGTGTCAGGAGTCCTCTTGAATCCAGACTTCCCTCAAGACCAGCGATGCGCGGAGAGGCTGCTAACGAAGATGGCTGCTGAAGCCATCAGCTGTGCCAGAGCTGCTAACTCCGAATTGCCGTAACATACACGTTTTAGATACATTTTACTATAAAATACTTCTGCCAGCGGAAATTTTATGAGTGTTAATTCACTCTGTAACAGATTTCGATTATTAAAATAACTAAACGTTTGAACTTCAACGACAAAGGTTTCAGACGGTGTCGCGCAAGGGGCGCCTTTGGAACCCATTCCATTCAGGCAATCTCTCAAAGCTATTGATAACCTTTTGTGCCCTACAGGGTGATCCTAGCTGAGACTTCTCTAAGCCCCGAACAAACGGCGAGGTATTACTCAGAAGGGGGACTTGGAGCCAATAGCGTTATAAGCAACGCTTTTACCTCACCGTCGAGAAGGTCAGGTCCTGAATTGGCTTTAGATTTCTATGGAGCTATACTGTTTGCGCCGCAGGATATGACACCTACTTGGGTGGTACGTATTATGGGAAAAATCATGAAAGCCAAAGAATATTCCAATTTAAATGGTAATAAAGGCAATAACCAAGAAGTTGAACAAACAAAATGCAAAATTTAAGTATTTATTCAAATTTAAATCATTATGTTAATAACAATACACATCATATAAATTACAATCACAAACTATCTAAGTTCTACCACACTTCACATGTACACCGACCCATTGACTCGGTACGGGACCGTTGTGCCGTTCGGCCACGGACGGGAAGAGGTTGTTGACACTGTCCGTACCCTACGCATCATTTATGAAGTATGTATGTATATATTTGCATTGCGCCCATACTTAGTACAAGAGAGAAATTAAATGGAAAGAAAAAGAAAATTATGAAATTTAAAAAATGTCGTACTTGGGCACATCGTCGATGTTTTGTAGAAAGGGCCTAAGCGCCATTTTGAAAAATTTAGTTAGTTTAGGTTTTCAAGAGTGTTTTAAAATATTTAAATTTGAGTCCTGTTTTACATTTAATTTTGGTTTCAATTAAAACACCGATGATATATTTATTCTACTTGGCTTTACAAAATTTTAAAATATTCTATTTTATATGAAAAACGATGCATTAATTTTATTACGCACGTAATTTTTTAACAAATACATTTTATCAGTTTCCCAACGTTGTTTCGTTTAAATTTAGTCACTTTACTTTTGAGTTTACGTTTACTAATGAGCTTGCGATGTAATAATACTTGAGTTACTTTTATGTAACTTTATAAATACCTCATGTCTTGTATATCTGCTTGATGTTCGCCTATCACTTGTCTTTTTATGTTACGTTGATCTTGTGTCATTTCTTTTGCGTTGCATACAAAAATTTGTCATAAATATGTACCTTTTTAAGTATGAAATTTGCATCAATTAAAATTTTTTACAATCAATTCAAAAGTTATTAAAATAATTGTAGGGGTAACGGAAAATCTTCTTTTAACTCTGTTTATAAATTTTTATTTCTATTTATCATGAAAATGTAAAGCAGTTATGTTCGTCAGTGATTATTTAAAATTCCCTTTAAAATTCCCATCGAAGCTAGCTCATTTCTATAGTCAATTAAAAGCATAATCTTATGCCAAGTCTTCTGCATCTTCAGACTAGTACCTTGAGTGAAAGCCGCACAGCAACACGCTACGGCAGTGACGTGGTGGACGCCGTCAATCTACTGGCTCTCACCTTGCCTGGTTCCGTCATCATCCAGCAGGGAGATGAGCTGGGAGCTGCTGACACTATTTTGGAATGGGCTGCAACCAATAGCTGCTGGCCTAGTAAGAAGCTGATGTAATTTGTGAATTTGACCAAACAGAAAAACAGACAATTAGTGATGGATGTTATTCTGCTTGATTTTAGACGATACTTAGTAGATGTAAGAAATTAAGATAAATTCATTCACAATACACCATTAAGATAAATTCATGAAAGTTGACAAAAGTTTTGAAGATATCTTGCACCAATGTGGTGCGCTATAGTCTAATTCTATCTATCTCTAGAAGACTAGTAATCGTTGTTACACTACCAAGCTGTAGCGAACTCCGATGAAGTTGAAAATTTCGATGAGCCCATTAAATGAAATGCGATTTCTTTGACAGTTAACAATAGGTAGTTAATTTATAGAGGATGGTAGTCTTCATAACAGCAGGAAGATGTCCACTGCTGAACATAGGCCTCCCCCAAAGAGTGCCAGACTAACCGGTCGGACGCGATGTGCATCCATCGGTTACCCGCCGCCCTTACCAGGTCATCCGTCTATCTAGTAGGGGGCCGTCCCACTGAACGCCTTCCGGTTCGTAGTCTCCATTCAAGAACCTTTCTGCCCCAACGGCCATCACTTCTACGAGCTATGTGCCCTGCCCACTGCCACTTCAACTTGCTAATCCTTTGAACCATGTCGGTGACTTTCGTTCTTATATGGATCTCCTCATTTCTGATTCGATCACGTAGAGAAATGCAATCTCCATAGCTCGTTGAGTGACTCTGAGCTTTTTTATGAGGCCCATAGGAAGTGACCACGTCTCAGAGCCGTAGTGGTTAAGTTATGATGAAGTGACAATTGTAATAATTAGTTAGTGTACATGTTAACCGAAAAACCATTTATACGCTCGCAGGTGCAATGGTCGCGTCTTCGGCGCCGTTCCCCTGGGACGACTCTGCTAACGGCGGGTTCTCGGCCGGCGAGCCGTGGATGCCGCTGGCGCCAAACTACCGCTACGCCAACGCGAAGACTGAGTTCGCAAATGATTTTAGCCATATCGGGGTGGTCAAGATTGCTGCGGCAATGAGGAAATCGCCTGCTGTTGGACCTCAAGCTGATGTAAGTGGAGGGTAGTTATAAATAGCATCTATAACATAACTCCATTTTGAGTACATAAACCCATGATAATCCTAGGGTTAGACCTACCGCCTTTCAAGCAGAGGCCGTGGGTTCGAATCCTGGCTCGTAACTCTGGGGTTTTCGGGATTTATGTGCGAAATACACCATGAGCTTTTCGGTGAAGATAAACATAGTGCTAAAACTTGTACGTCGAAGAATGTTCACAAACCTCGGAAAACGTCTAAAGTCCCCAACTCGCATTGCGCCAGAGTGGCGGACCATAGCCTAAACTCTCACCTGAGAGGTGACCCGTGCCCAGTGGTGGAACATTAAAATGATGATGATGTACATAAATATTGGTAGGTTACGTACCACTACACTATTTAGGCATGTGAAATTAAGAAGAATTAGTAATATCGGAATTACCGGTATTTGATTTATGAAGAGTTTGATACGCGACTAAGATATTGGTCAGTTATTTACAGACTTCGGGAGGCTTATACTCAGCAGTCATCGAAATCGGACTGTGAATAATTCTACCTTCAAGTTACAACAATATTCATTTGTATGGATTGTATGGTATTTCAGATAAAACGGCTTGGGAATGCTATAGCGATACTAAGGTGGGGAGGTGCAGGCTCTCTCCTAGTCGTCTCCAATATGGCCAGGGATCATACCGAAGCCCAGCTGTTCAGAATTCCTGGTCTCCCACCAGAGATGACCGTAGCTGCCAGTTCTGGAGGATCAAGTCTGTCAACTGGCACCCATTTCAACACTGAAAAGGCTTTGAAACTGGCTCCAGGTGAAACTATACTCTTAGCTGGACCACCAAGACATTGTGGTGGTCCTGGACCAGTAGACCGCATAGCGAACAAGTTGTCCGAGGGCTGGCAAAAGCTGAATAAGTATTTTAGTAATATGTAATGTTTGAAACCGTTTTTCATTATTGTTGTCATAACAAATGTTATTCAATAAAAGATACTGATGATATGTACTAAACTAAAGTGTGCTTTATTACTACTTCAATAAAGAGTCAGTACCATATTCTAAGTTCAAGCTTTGAAATTCGGTTCCTGAAAAACTGTGATGCGTTATAACAGTTATTCAGAAACCCTTTAATCAAAGAAACTATTTCTCTACAAGTCACTCGTATATTTATTAAAATCAAATCGATATTTGTAAAACGAAAATAGCTCCTACATTTCGGACTTTAGGAAATAGTACTTAAACATATTTTCCAAAATATAAATAATTCAAAAAATAATTCCTTAACCAAGCAGTTTTTCCCACTGAAGTTACTCCCCAAGATCTACAGAGTAGATGTAAGATCAGATGCAATACCCAATAGACCAATGTTTCTTTTCCTGGCAGTCTATAAATATTCTAAAGCGCAGACACAAGCTCATAACAGCTTTATTACATGTGCTTAGTATAGATTGCCCCTCGAATCGCTTAGGGGCGCCTAGCCGCCCCGCTCTGTGCAAAGAACACAAGGAAACTAGACCATAATGAATTGAATACGAAATTACACACAAGCAGAACGCCTCACTCTATTTCCTACTATTGTCTTCGTGACCTATTTCCACTGTAATAAGAGAAATCACGTATTTTACATAGCTGCACCCCTTTACCTCACTTCTGCATAACCTAGTTTTGAAAACTTACATAGATAGATTACTTACACGCAAACGTAATAATAGGTTCATGGTTCCATACGCCGGTTCGACTAACGATCGACCGCTTCCCCTTGTAATTGATCGCACGCATGGTAACAATGTTACACATTATAAAAAGAGCTTTTAGTGTCTTCCTAATGTGAATAGGCACATTAAAATTTACAACCGCCATTGGTGCCCGCGAATTCAGCAATCGAGACAGTTTTACAGGGTAGGAACAATCGCCGTCAAATACTGTAAAAGTTTACAGCGAAGTAAGTAAGGTGGGTGGACTTACAGAACTTGCTCTTCTCGGCGCTGGTGTAGGTAACCGCCAGAATCGCGGTCAGCAGCGAAAGCAGCGCGCGCGCCCTCATGGCGGCGCGGCGCGGGCTGGCGGGGGCCCGGCGTGGCGCGGACTGCTGCACGCCGCGGCCGCGCTGCTATCGACCCCGCGGCAAGCGCGCATGCGTCGTGGCTGTGGCCCTTATCCACGCCACTGGGTGTTGCTACCCCACACACAGACCCGAAATACTTGGGAAACTTGGAGTTGAGAAGGACGACTCGAGTAGTTGAGAAGGTTGCCAACTTAGTACGAAGCACAACCGCAACTCGTGTTTTCCGGGATAAATTTTAGGACTCATCTCAATCAATCAATAGTTACTGATTCTCTGCCGTGGTATGAGTACCATTCTGCGGTTGGCCAGTGAACTCGTGACCATGGAGCATTTACCCGTTCCTAAATATTATATTAAATTTCTAGATAAATACATCAGGTAATCTTCAGAATAAAAAAATTAAATGGTTCACCAACAATTTTGTCTAATAGAAATTCATTTACTTCTACTACGTCGTCGTCTCTGACTACTATCATACCATACCATACCAAAAACGAAACGTCCGAAAAACAGCATTAAGCATGGCAACCCTGTAGTTTTCTAGCGTACACTCTTCGCATCCTGTCCGCAAAAAAAGCAGAACACAAATTCCACCGCGTCGCATCCATCCCAGAGTCGTTATGAAACTTTCGTGGGCATTGTGGACAGAGACATCAATGGACGTCAAACTTTATCGGTGTTATCATAAAAAAAACTGTCGTAAACTGCGTCGGTGAAGCCCCTTGCATCGTACACATCCAGTCTGGGATGACTCATTCTGACCGAATGAATGAACTGCACTTTGCACTGCTATACACTAATTTCCAACCGTCAATCAATGCCAACGCCAGCAAATCTGCATTCGCACTTCGACGAAATAGACTATTAGGCAACATTTCGTGAAATTCTATTCGCCCTCACACCTATCCAACTCAAACGTTTTTAAGTAACTGCAAACACAAGTTTGTCGTTCCAAATCAATGGCAGTCAACAAAAAAAGCAACATGTTTTTTTGATGTTCCATAAACAAAGTTACTCGTTTGAGTTTTGTTTTCGCTTTGAACTGGTATAGTTCAAACTGGGTTAGTTTTCCAGTTGATTTTGCTTGAATGTTTTGAAGTTTAAGAATTAATTAAGAGCGTGCTTTGGGATTTTAACTTGAGTTTCTTACGTAAATATTTCATTTAAACTTCTTTACAAGTGCACATCATACGGGAATAGCGTTTTGTAGAGACAGCGATGACATGACAATATTTGTTCATTTATGTTATTTTTTAAATTACCGTGATACATTTTCCAAGAATACAAAAAAAATCTAACATGAAAATTATCCGAACAAACGGACACGAACATTGTCAAAACAATCATAAACCATGGGAAACATACACCAAAAGAAAAATGAAATTTCGAGATAACACACTGCACCCTCCCTAAAGTCGATGTCTGGTCTCGAACCTGAAACCATCGGTTCTGCGGACCGGCGCCGACTCCTCAAGTTGACGATAGGAGGGTACGCTTACTTCCTCTGCGCCCCCCACTTCCCCTCCCCACTCGAGGGTACTTGAAACAAGGACCACTTGTCAGAAGAGCGCTTGACGCGTAAAGGTATCTTTTTGTCAGATTTTAAATATAGGTGTTGGAGGGCTGGATTAGCATCGCTTCCTTATGCTTTATTTGAAATCTCAAGTGAAATACTTCTATCCATGGCTTCACCCGCGACGATGACATGACCAGTTATTGTTAGTGGTTATGATTACGTTTACTTATAGTATGACGAATACTTAATTCTAAATAATAAAATTTAATTTAAAATTTAATTATACTGATGTATGGTATGGTGTAACGGGCTGTTGTCCGCAACTCGACATCCAAGCGCCTATTTTAGGTGCAGGAACCTACTCGTGCCACCCAACCTCATCCAAAAATCTCAACACTGGGTTTTTCGAAGACTTCGGGGAGCGGCCAAGGCACTCCAAGGTATTTCGCCCTGTAGTTGGCCACGCCGGAGCATTGCAGTAGGATGTGGGCGGCGGTTTCTTTCCCCTCGTGATACCTACATTGAAAAGATGTTTATTATATGCCTGTGATTTCACCAGCACCCTTAACCTTTCAGAACCGCAACGCAGCAATGCTCACGTTACTGCTTGGCAGCAGAAATAGGTAAATGATGTCAGGACTTCCCTGGACGTATTCTTTCACAAGAAGCTCTACTGCTACTAATTAAAAGACAGTAAAGTCATAAACTAGTTATGTCTAATATTATAACTATGTTTACGTACATATCCGTGGTACCCTAATTTGGTTTGACCTACCGCCTCTCAAGCAGATGCCGTGGGTTACAGTCCGGGCTCGCACCTCTTAGTTTTTCGGAAATAAAGAGCGAAATTTAGTTAGAAATTGGCCATGAGCTTTTCGGTGAAGGATTTTCCTTGTCGCGATGGGTTCACAACCCTCGAAAAAGGTGCGAAGTCCCCAACTCGCTTTGAGTGATTGACTTTAGACTAAAACCTAGAGAAGATCCGTACCCAGCAGTGGGACGTATAAGTGTATTGATGATGATGACGATGATAATGTTTACGAACATAAATACTTCGTTAACATTTGCACTAACATTGTATCTAGTACATATCTCTTTTACTAAAGTTCTAGGTACGTAATCATAAAAGATTAATAGAATTCAATGCCTATTATTTCAAGTCATAACCTACTTAGTTGGTACTAAGTACATTGCTTTCTTATCAAACATGCATTCATGTAATATACAACAATATGTACTTAATAAGGTATAAAACAAATAATAAACATACATTATCTATTAATATAACACGGTTGCCTAAAAAATTCCATCGGCTTGCCTAAGAATTTTTCCCAAGATCGTATTCAACGGAAATCTTATATATATCCACGTATATCTTATATAGTATATCCACGCTTCCCCACTGACACATACGTGGCTTCAGGCCAGTACCTCGGTACAACTCCCGAGATAAACCTAATAAACGTTGACCCTAACAAAAAGAACCAATATTATAGTAATCTAATAGCTGTGCTCCGGTTTTGAAAGGTAAGGATGCTGGAGAAACTGCAGTTACGTACTTGTGATCTGTCAATTTAATGTCTCACGGCGACGACTACAGCGGCAGAACCCCTACATCTTTTCGATTTACAATTCGATTGACACTGCAACTTGTTCATCCTGTCACATGATTAATAAAAAAAAGTACAGATGTAAATAAATTAATTAATTAATGAAATATTTTTTTTTAAATTACTATAACCACGCAGAACAGTAACTTAAGTAATAGCCATTTCTTCCAAGCAATTAATAATTATCTATACTACTTTATGGACTAGAGTAAGTATCTATCGATACATCGAGAAAAGAGCTTAAAAACCAAACTACAAAACCTACAAGACACGTGAACAACAAATTTTTAGAAAGGTTTGTGTGCGTTGTCTTTTTACTTTTATAACTATGCGTAAAAAAGATATTTTTTCGAATGACACAACTTTGAATAGACAGTTCGAAAAAGCGTGAAATTTTAACTCAGCTACATCAATATCTTATTTCTTCCCTGATATATCACTATGTTTTCTAAACTTCCATTTAATATACTCTGTTTTCACGAGAAGATTCAATCGGCAATATATCATTTAAAATGGAGATTAGAGCGAGAATTTAAAATAGGAGTGGAGAAAGGAGAAAAGTATTTTATCATGTTAGCTACATGGAATTCCAAAAGACCATTTGACTTCGTCGAGCTAGTCAATGCGGTACCCGATAATTCAAGATATAAAGCAAGACAGCCTCATATTTTCCTATGATGACAGAAAGTAAGTGAAGGCCAATTTCAAGAGACCTATCTCCAGATACTTGTACGTAGAAGTTTAAAGCCTCGAACATTGTTGTTAGGGTAGCGGAGCAATGAGCTCATAAAACTTGGCTTACTGTCGAAACGATGGCTCAAGAAGATAGCGATAGGTAGCAGAATCTGCTTGGGAATATTGATATTACCTCTGATTTAAGACCTGTGATGCTGGGAGATGATTGAAATAGAAATAAATACGTCATACTACACCCAACAATTATCAGCACTCCTATAAAAATCCATCATAACAAAAATAAATTTAAAACACGAAATTAACACACTCGCCTTGTCAATTGTTCAGGTAATTGCTCAAATCAATCACGATAAGTAAAAAAAAGGGTCGAAGATAAAAAGGGGGGAAATTCAGGATCAGCAGAGGTCTCGAATACCATCTCAGCCAATGGTGCGACTGCTACGAGGTACCCCAGACCACCGCTGATGATAACAAGTCGACGAAATTCGGTATACATTCTGCCTATCAGTGTGTTTTTTTATCGTATTTACACCTATCTCAGTTTTGTTTCGCGGATAGCGCGTTATCTATGATAGGAGGTGATATGAAGCTAATCGTTATACGTCATCTTTTTCGGTAGGTTCCATTTAATTAAATACTGTGACCAAATTTCAAACTCCAGGGAAAAAAAGAGTGATCAAAAGCAGTTCTACTGAACAATATCTGTTGTTGGAAACTATAGGAATAGTTGCTAGAAACCTTACATCGCCAATGGTTACTTATGTGTCAAATGTAGATTTAAGTTATTCAATATTCTCTCATTCAAAAATGGTCCTTATAGCTGCCAGAGACCAAAAATCAAAATTTTTAATATCTACGAATAATGTGAAAGACAAAAGCATATAATGTCAAATCGAGTTGGTTTCTCATTAACAAGCCTCAAAGCCGGTATTAAATGGGTATCGGCTGAAATGTCACTCAGATCTCGAGATGGTTCTCAAGCTCTTCTATATTAATAGACTATAATCATCGGCGTCTCGGATAATACCATCTCAAGTGACCAAGCACTTGATTGATTAGGACTTAATAACGATGTTGAGCCGTCCTCAATTTCTGAGTGACGTTTTTTAATACGCGGGAATTTTGACAACTGTCAAATGACGCGTAATCAATAAGTAAATCGGTGTAGTGAATTGAAATGGTGTGAAATCTAATCGACTATTTTCATTGACTTACAAATAAAT